TCTCATTATTATGCACATTGTGGAGGACGAAAGCATTTCTTCTTTTAGGTAGCTAGCCTTTGGTTGATTTTAGATACATTTGTTCCCTTCTTGCTACCCATGTTGTTGTCTTGACTTTTTTGTTGTTTATAAAACACATTACAAGCCTATTTTGCCCCATTGGTTATTACTCCCAAGCTTGGCTTGGGGGAGCTATTAGTGAGTGAGGTAAGGGAGTTTGTAGTTTACTTATTATTTACACAATTTGGGTCGATTTTGAGAAGTTATTTTGTTCTTGATTGTAGTTTATTTTTTATGAGCTTGAATGTTTAATCTTCTTGAGAGAAAATAAAGTATGATGTTATGAAAAAAAAGAGAAGTTCAAGAAAAAAAAAATGGAAAAAAAAAGTGAATTCAATAGAAAAAAAGAGCAAAACGAGAAAAAAGTTTAATGTTCAAATGTTCTAGATGGAGGTTGATCAAAAGAAACAAGGGAAAAAGTAAGTTTCAATGAAAATTAGAGTTTCGAAAATAAAGTTTGTTTATTCACTTAAGTTTTATATTATTATATTTTTGTGAGTGATATTGTAAGTGTTGGGATTGTTAGTTATGTTTAGATTTATTTGGTGAACTTTTGGTGGAGTTGAGTATGTTTGAGATGATTGATCATTATTTATTTTTGACCTTGTTTTTAATTAGGTTTTGGCTCCCTCAAGCATGGCTTTACTCTCACATTTTCCCAAATTTATCCTACCTTTTACCCTAGCCTTACATTACAAGCTTTAAAGTCCTTATGACCTTGTGCATAGAGTTGTGTAATGTGAAAGTGTTGCTTATCAATGCAAGTTATGACTTGACATATTCCGAGTCGACTACTAGGCTGAGTGTATGTCTCTTAAACACAGGAGAGTTGTGAGTTTGGGAGGGCATTGTTCACATAAAGGGGTTGGGATGGAAAGCGATCGAGTACATCTTTTACTCGCCACATGAATGAGAGTTGAGTGTGTGAGCACTAGTCTTGAATAACATATGCTCTTGTGGTTTGTTCTATTTGCCAATGTTAGGGAGGAAAAGTGATTGGATGAATGAAATTGATTGATGTTGAAACATGTTTATTAGATTTGCCTTGAATTGTTTGTGCTTGATTTTGACTATTTATGTGAGCACTAGTCTTGAATAACATATGCTCTTGTGGTTTGCTCTACAAGCAAAGGTTTGGCTTGGGGAAGTTTGATATGTCCATTTTATATAGTGTTTTACCCTCGTCCCTCAGTCATAATTAGTAGTGTTTTTGGCTCTTTAGAGCCACTTTTATTACTAATTGGTATTTTCTAGTGTTTTTGTAGATTTGGTTGACTTTTGTAGTGATTTGCACTTTTAGAGCATTTTCCCGAGATATTATGAAGTGACTATGAGCATTGGAGGAGCATGACCTGTTTTCATAGCCCAGGGCCAGTTAGAGTCATCAAACCAGTGATTAAGGGCTTAGCATTTGAGATTCCGAGGCATTTGGACCGAGTATTCAAGACCCGAAGAGGAAATCCAGTTTGGCCCGATGAATCGGAGCCCAATCGAAGTCCAAACTTGCCCAAGTGTCCGGGCCCGGCCAAAGAAAGCACCGCCAGAAGGCGCGCCCGGCCGGGCGAGGAAGATTAGTTCGCACCCGGCCGGGTGCGAGAGACGCTCATATTGGAAGAAAGGCGAGCCCGATCGGGCACAAGGTTTTTAGGAGCTGATTTCGGCAATTTATCTTAGTTTTAATTAGGAGTATTTATTTTTGATATAAATACGATATTAACGCTTTTTATTAGGATCTCTCTTCTTTTAGACTTTCTCTTTCTACTTAGCTTTAGATTAGTTTCTCTCTTTACAACTTTGTTCTTAATTCAACTCCTTAATTCTGATTACTTTGGTAACGATTTCTTCTACTTTAATCTCAATTATTTACTTTATTTCTTTCATCATGTCTCCTTTAATTGATTTGTTTAGTTTAAATTTAATTATGTCTGAATAGTTTTCTTTCTAGGGTTTATGGGGACCCATAAATAATATGAAGGGGTAATTTATTGTTGTTTATTATCAATGCTAGATTAATTTCCTATTGATTGATTAAATGCTCTGTGACTAGATTAGGCCTGATCTTTTATGCATGAGTTTGAAAATATTGATTCGAGATTCGAGAGATGATAATTGATGTTTAGGTCTAGTTTCAATAGGCAGGTTAATTTATAAATGGTTAAGTCGAGATTCGAGAGATGAGATTTAATACCGGTAGATTAATTCTATTATTGTAATAAGTAGCGTGAGCCCTTTATGATCTGATTAATTGATGCATTGATGGTTGTTTGCTATGTTTTACCCAGGAATATTATTTATTGGTAAACCTATGCCCTAGGTCTTTTATCCCTTGATTTTCTTCCTACTTTTATTCCTTCCCACTTTTACTCCTAGTAGTTTAGTTGCACTTTTTAATAACAAATTGGTTACTTAATAATTTGGATTGCTTTAATTAATTAGGAATAGAAAGACCAGTTTTCCTGTGGATTTGACCCTACTTCCCTATCTGCATTAGTTAGAGGATTTAGCTTTTACTTTTGATTGGGTGATACGACTTTAGCCGGTCATAGTGGTACTTTTTTCCATCCTATGTCATCGATTTTTTTCTCTTAAAATACCTACCACCTGCCACCTATTATGCATGTAGTGGTACATTTTGTCATCCTATTTGTTTGTAAGGCATACATGTACTATATGCCTATAGTTATTCCGTGGGATTATTTATTTCAATTTTTCTTGAACAAAAAATGATAATTTTTGTAGTATAAAGGTTAACTCTAAATACTATTATAATAACTTTAATGTGTATTATAATAGATTAATGTACACCAGGCTTTAAAAGAATTTGTACTTTATTATGAGTCTCAATTCTGAAAGGTTGTGAGGCCCCGTTCTTTAGAGCTGCTCTACTATGCTCTGCTGAAATCTGTTCTGCTCTAATGAAATTTGCTTTGTTGTGCTTCAATCTGCTCTGCTCTACTCTACTCAGTTCTGCTTAAAAATAATACTTAATATTGAATTATTATGATATTAATTAATATTTAGTAATAATAATAAATATATAATATTTAATAATAATAATTAATATTGAATTATTATAATAATAATAATTAATATTTAATAATAACAATAATAAATAATTAATATTTAATAATAATAAAAATAATATTAAAAAAATAATATTTAATAATTAATATGCAGAGGGTGACCAAGACTGTACCATTGCCCTTATGGATAAGGTTGCAGTATTAGATGATCCTCAGTGTGAGCTTATGTTATTTAGGGCATGTACTGGAGTTTCTAAATTCTACTTCGCACTGCGTACTTGTTCTGCAGATATGTTACTTTATTCATGGGATCGTGGTCGCGATGTCTGTGTTGACATGACATGGTCTTCTCCATTGACACAATCTGGGCTCTCTGACTTTGTTCCTAGACGGGTAGTGGCTGATGCGGCTAATCGGAAGCGGGTCAAATACGAATTCAGTTGCCAAGCAATTGGATATGGCTTCCTTCCTTTCTCCTTCTCTTCTCTTGGGGAGTTAGAAAAAGAGGTTGTTGCATTGCTGAAACGGATCCAGAAGTTCTCAAAAGCTCAGGACATTGGGGCAGGTGCTGCAACTCATATTTTTACTAGGATCAGCTTTTTTATAACTAGAGGAGTGGGGGCCCAGATTATATCTCGGCTTCCCACTAAATTTCTATAGGTTGTATAACTTTATTTGTTTTAGAGATATAATAATAATAATAATAATAATAATAACAACAAGAATAATAATAATAATAATAATAATAATAATAATAATAATAATAATAATAATAACTTTATCCACCTTCTCTTTATCTCCACGTCAACCAGCATTGTGGAAATCGCAGCAGGGTGATCACACCTCTGCTTGGCTTCGGGCGGTTCCTATTTCAGGTTTGGGTGAGACGATGAACGCAAAGGCTTATCGATCGATGTGTATTGTGTTACCACTTGGGTTTCCTTTATTCTCTGTTTCGACGTTGTGCGCTGCTTGTTCAAGGGTTTTCATTGGGGATATTTTAGGTGATCACGCGGTATCGTGTGCTGATATGGTTGGTATTACGGCATAATGTTGTTCGGTATACTCTTCTTGATATCTATTATTGATCTAGGATTACATCTAGAAAGGAGGTTGACATTGGGTTGTCTAGAGGGAACGACGGGGTCCTTAGACCTGCAGATGTGTTACTTTACTCCTAGGATCGTGGTCGTGATGTCTGTGTTGATTTGACGGGGTCTTCTCCTTTGACACAGTTTGGACTATCTGATTTTGTTCCTGGACGCGTTGTGGTCGATGCAGCTCATCGGAAGCGGGTCAAGTATGAGACTAGTTGTCGAGCTATTGGATATGGATTCCTTCCCTTCTCATTTTCTTCATTTGGGGAATTAGACAAGGAGGTTGTTGCGTTGCTGAAGCGGGTTCAGAATTTCTCAACGACTCAGGACATTGGGGCTCATGTTGCTACACATATTTTTACTAGGATAGGCTTTTTTATAGCGAGAGGAGTGGGGGCCCAGATTGTAACTCGGCTTCCCACTAATTTTTTTTAGGTTAACATATAATAATAATAATAATAATAGTAATAATAATGAAATTTGTTATACTTTGCTCTATTAATCTATTCTGCTCTGCTCTATCCAGAAACTCAAAATAACAGGAGCTGACTATGACTAGTCAAATGAATTAGAAACTGCGTATAAATTGTAGTTGAAGTCATTAATTGCAAAACGAATTGTTGTTAGCGTAAGAATTTGACTTTAAATTAACATCACATTCATGTTCCCATTAAACAGCGAAATCCCACTATAATTAACCAAATAAAGCAACAAATGTCCAATAGTAATTAGTAAAGGACCCAGTTGTCCGAATTCAAACAAAATGCTTGTTTATTTATTACTACGCCATTTAAAAAAACACACGTCGTATTCGAACACCGTTATTAAAGGAATCATTTTCCGCGGGATATTGCTTTCACTGTTAAGACACTTGTTTCGTGTTCTTTCATTTGACAACTCTATTTTGCTTTCTTGCTTTCTTTTCAACCTTTTGAAGAGAAACACCATCCATTCAATCTCTGTCTTTTTTCGTCCAAAAATGGAAGTGAAGCAACTCGATTTTGTGCTAGTTTCATTGGGTTTGTTCGTGTTCGCTGTGTATAACGTTTGGTTAGTCATTACTATCAAGCGTAATCCCCGAAATACTGTTATCGGCCTTAACGCTGAGAGTCGTACTCAATGGCTATTCTGTTTAATGGAAGTAAGCTCTCTTTCTCTTTTCACCTTCATCAATCTATGCATTTTCAAAGTTTTGAGTATTTCACTATAAGATCAGATTTTGGTTTTTTTTTTTTTTTTTTTTTTTTTTTAAGTTTTGAATATTTGTTAAACTCATCGCCTTATCTTATTTAATTTGAACTTAATAGACTTCATTAGACTTGTAATTAGTTTTTTTGGAATGAAGAGAACGCACCCTTGTCTTAATAACTGACTCAGAAGAAATTGTCTGAAAATTCGATTATAGTGTTTTAAGTTATTTGATACTAAACTTCAATAAATCGTTTAGTGTTGCTTGTAATTGATGGTTTTTTTTTTCTTTTTTTTATTTATTCCCATTTTGCAATTACCGCCTCCGTTTTTATATACTTGCTCCACTTTTTCATGCACAGAGTTTTAAAAAAATATTGGAGAAATTAATAAAATTAGGTCCCACTAGTTAAGAGAAATAAATTGAATATTATAAAAACCGGATCTTTTACCAAAATGGCTAATTTTGTAAAATTATTTACCAAAACAGCTAATTATAAATTTTAATTCCCAAACTAGCTAATTTATTAACTTGGATGGAATTTATCTATTTCTTATATTCCTTTAAACCAATTTGGTTCACATTATGACTTTTTTTTTTGGTTTTATTAAAAAAAAAATTAGCTTTTTTATATATAAATTTTAGATTTTTGATTTTCTTTGAGAATTTCTTATGCCATATTTTGAAATATTCCATTAATTTGAATAATGAGTAATATATTTGCAACAATTCTCAATTCTTAATAAGTTACGCAAAATAAACAATCATTAAAAAAATTGATCCGGACTTCCAATCCACAAAAAAAAAAAGGTGTATTAAAATAAGATAAAAGCCTAAAATTTAAAATTGATATACTTTGTATTAAGGTCTAAAGGCCCAAAGTTTCTAATGCACTTACAGAGAGAAAAGGTGTATTAAAATAAGATAAAAGCCTAAAGTTTAAAAAGCAAGTAGGAACAATCAAGTCTTGATTATATATAAATAACTAGAGTTATATAGCGGTTGACCATAATATCATTTTATTTGCTCGGAAAAGATGAACAATACTTTATTTTCCTTATCGTGGTATAATCTGTGATAGTCTTGATAGACCAATACTATTTGAAATTCCAAATTTTTGTGATTGATATAATCTTGACGAAAAGTTAGGGCTTTTTTATTTATTTATTTTTGATCGAAATTAGGTTTCTGCCATTGTTGGCACAATTGGTCTTGTATGAACCCGGTTTACAATAAATTATTGCAGACCCAAAATTTGACACTTTCAAATAATATAATCACATTCTGGAAGATATAATCACTTTTTAAGACAATATAATTATCTTTTTGTGAGTCATATTTTGAATTATATAATCTCATATTAAACCATTTAATGGGATTATATAATTATCTTTAGGATGATAAAATTTAAAAATCATCTTTTGAATAATGTAATTTACTATTTGATACATTTTATAATGATAAATTTACTTTTTGAGTGATACATTTACATAACAGTTTCAGGGTAATATAATCACTTTTGTAGTAATATAATCACATTCGTATGGTATACTAGAAGGTTGGGTCTACAATAAGTTATTGTAGACCGGGTCTATTCTAGTCTTTACCTTGTTGGCATACTTCATATTTTTGTATATTGCTTAAATTTTCCAAGAAAAAAAAAAAAACCTTTAAGAAAAATAAAATAAAACCAAAATAAAAAAAAGTCACTAAAGTGAACCAAACCAGTTCAAAGAAATATAAGAAAATTGATAATTTCTTTCCAGTCAATAAATTAGCTAATTTGGGAATCAAATTTTAAAATTAGCCATTTTGGTAAACACTTTTATCAAATTAGTCGTTTTGGTAAAAGATCCATAAAAACTTTCCAAATAAGTAAATAGAGCAAATATTTAAAAACGGTCACAAAAAGAAGGTTGAGCAAGTATTTAAAAATGAAGGCAGTAATTTTATGATGGCGGTATATTCGTAGATAATACTCCCTCTGTCTCTAAATTAGTGTCCTATTTCTAATGTTTATTACTCACATAATAAAGAAAAATAGGCCACTAATTTAGGATCGAGGCAGAGTAGTATACTGTTTCTGTTTTGTGATTTAAGGTACATTTAAAGATAGTGTAATCAAAGATTGCTAATTTTGTATTAAAAAAATCAAATAAGACATGATTAATCAAATAAGATCGACATAGAATATTCCATGTAACATAGGATTTCTGATTTTTAATGATTGAAAGATACATTCGTGGGTGAGTCATGCTGCTGCCTGTAACAATATATTTATTTTTTACGAAATTATAACAAGTGTAAATTTTTGGTTCGCTTTAAATTATTTGTTGAATTTATAGTACGTGAGTGTTCATGAGGAAGTATAAACGGAGGAATATTAGTATTTGTAAATACATAAGATTGATTAAAACATTTTGAAAAACATAGAGAGAAGAGAGGAGCGAGATACGAATAGATAGGTCTGTAGGCAGTGGCGGATCTTGAAATCTTTTCTTTCGGGGGCCAATAATATCTAGCATAAGTGTACGTCTAAAACAATAATAAAAAGGAGTATAAGAATACTAAATATAATAAATATTACCAAACAATTAAAAAAAATGCAAGTGTCACAATCTAATTATTTCTCATGCAAATGTCACAATCTATTTCTTCAGCACACTATTAAAGTAAGGCTCGTCTTTCTTTTAATAATTTGAAATCATCAATTATTGACTTAGTACTAAATGACTTAGAAATCTTCCTTTCAATGGAAATAACTAAACTATCTGCCAAAAACTCATCCTCCATCTTGTTACGTAGTCTTGTTTTCATGATCTTCATTGCTGAAAATGCTCTTTCAGTGGTAGATGTGGAGACAGGAAGGGTCAAAACTAGACGTATTAGTCTATCAAATAAAAAGTATACATTTGATTTTCCTATGTTGTGCCAAGTGTTCGCAAAATTCCTCCAAGGTAGAATGATGAGTCAAACTAGGCTCAGTTTTTGCTTCACAAAAAAAGTGTTGCAATTGATACCTCAAATTGTACCTTTCTTGCTTCGTAAAATCCATGGGGTAAAACTTTTCTGCAATCAAGCAAACCTTCTCAAGATCAAAATTTTTAAATCCGTCTTTGGGCTCTAACAAAGATGATAAAGTTAGGAACTCTAAAGCGTCATCATTAAATCTGCGATTTAGCTCTTGTAATTGTTTGTCAATTGCACCTAAAAATATTTCAACTCGATAAAAATGATTCATTGTAACTCGATCTTGTTGATGACGAGCTCGACCCCTACGAGCTATATAAGGAGAATTCATAGCAGGTATTAAAATATCATCTAGGTGACAAAATAATACCACCGACTCTAAAAAAACTTTCCCATCCATTTTCTCTTATTTCCTGAATTAGTGCATGATTTGTAGACACTAATTTCACAGCACTGACAATATCTTGGGACTTTTGTTGTAACGCTTGATAGAACATTAGCAATTCCCAAAATTTCTTCCATTAAACGGGCAATGAACACAAAATCAAAGGAAATCATTAGATCTAAAGCAGCATCAGCATCCCCACGTTGAGAAGAATTACAAGACTTATCATTCGAGATGTGTTCAAGTACTAACACTGTTGCATCAAACATTTTCATCAAGCTACGAATAGAGTAAAGATGTGAACCCCAACGTGTATCTCCATCTCTTTTTAAAATTCTAGTCTGATTAGCTCCTCTACCACTGTCTATTTCACCAATAGATAATAGCCTTTTTATTTCATCAGATTTGATGGATTGCAATTGGTCAACACGTTTAGGAGATGAAACAATGACATTGATAATGAAAGTCAAATTTGAAAAAAACTGATGTATTACTCTAACATCTCTAGATGCGGCAACCAATGCTAATTGTAAACGATGAGCAAAACAATGGACATAATAAGCATAGGGGCAATCAGAAAGAAATAATGCTTGCAAACCATTCCACTCACCTCTCATGTTACTAGCACCATCATATCCTTGCCCTCGAATATTTTCAACAGGTACATTATGTCGAGCAAGAACTGAACACAATTCTCTTTTAAGTGTTGCTGCCGTGGTATCGGAAACTCGTATAAGGTCAAAAAATCGCACCCTAATTGTTCCATATTTGTCAAAAAACCTTAAAACAAGACCCATTTGCTCTCTTTTAGATTCATCTCGAGCCTCATCAACTATAATACAAAATTTAGAAATACCGATTTCTTCTCTAATATAGTTGCGAACCTTATTTGAAATAATATGGAGAATCTCTTTTTGAATCGAGGGAGCAGTATATTTGGCATTATAAGGAGCTTGTCGTATAGCTTTGGAAACATCTTTATTATATGCAGCCAACACCTTTCTGAATTCAAGATAGTTTCCTTGATTTTCAGAATTATTTGTTTCATTGTGACCTCTTAAAGGACAAGATTGTGTAGTCAACAAGCGGAGGACATCGATAGAGGCCTTTAAACGCAATCGATTTTGCTTGATTTGCATTTCACTTTGTTTGTAAAAAACATTACGAAACTTTGCTTTTTTCTTAGGAAGAGTCCTGTATAATTGAACCGCATTTCGATGAGTTGTACATGGACCTTCTTCAATATGAGCAAGGAACCCACAACGTTTCCCGTCATTGACTTTTTTTCCAATTTTTGAATCCGGTCAAAGTAAACGATTTTACCCGAGAATTTGGTGTTTCAGTAAACAGATAACAAGGTAGACAAAATGCAGCATCTTTAGAAGGTGAATATTCCAACCAATCTGGGAACTTAGCAAACCAAGTAGATTGAAATCGGCGACGATGCTTTGTAGGCCCTGAAAATGGATATTCTGCCAATTGAGGTTGATAAGGCCCCAATTTAATATAAGCACGTCTTATTTCATTTCGTTTTCCAATTAGATAAGCCCATATTGGAGGACGTAACCCTGGATCACGTTCTAAAGAATTAATATCC